AAAAAAAATACGTTGAAAAATTCCCCGGCTTGTGCTGCTGCTACTGCTGATTGCTTGAACAGGACGCTTCCGCCACCGCTTTAGATGACAGCAACAGTNGGGTGCTATCATCAGAGGGGGGGGAGTGTCATCCATCGTCATCAGCTAGGGAGGAAGAAAAAAACACGTTGAAAAATTCCCCGGCTTGTGCTGCTGCTGCTGCTGATTGTTTGAACAGGACGCTTCCGCCACCGCTTTAGATAACAGCAGCAGCAGCAGCAGCAGAGGCGACACACCCTCTCGCCCACAATGAGTGTAGAGAGGTGCACAGCACAGCAGTGGTACTACATCGTCTAGGAACGAGCGTGATGTGTTACTGGTCCCGTGCTGTGATGTATGTGTGCCTCTCTCCAGAACAGAGTCAGAGCCCGCTCCCTCCCGCCGCGTCGTAACACAATAACAACAACCAACCGATGGACCCACAGAGACCCAATCAATATCTCTCCTCTCGCTTCCTCCGCCGAAAGCTAGCAGCAGCAGTAGTATAGGGCACACCCTGCTCCCGTCCCGCTCTCGCTGTGTGGTGTGTGCAACACACGCTGGTTGGTGGGACTCCCTCTCTCTCCAGAGAAAAAAAGGCGAGGAAAAGGCCGGCTGCGTTGAACAACAACAAACAACGGAAACAACAACAACAACATCATCAGCGATGAACCCCAGACCAACCAAACGTTCCCCGCTTCCTCCGCCGTCGCTAACAGCAGTATGTGTGTGTGTCCCGCCCCCCTTGTCCATGTTCCCTGTCTCTGTGTAGTGCGTGTCTTGCCAGTAGCAGCAGCAGTGTGTGCAGCACGGCAGTATGTGCGTCGTGGTTTCTTCTTGCGTGCGTGTAGTTTGTTGCCCAGAGAAAAACAAAAATGACGACGCCTCCCGGGGACGCGTCCATGTGACATATATATTTGCACAAACGGTGTGCTATCTCGAGACACCGACCACGGATTGCAAAGGTAGCGGTTGGGACAGCTCGGGCAAAATGTTACTTGTTGAGCGCAAGTTTTAGTTTGCAATTTGATGCCGAGATGGTGAAATGGGCTCGAGTCTGCTGCGTACTTAGGGCGCGCAGACAGACACCAGACAGACAGACAGACAGACAGCCATGGCTAAATTTTCACGCCCCTGAAAATTATTCTTTTTCTCGTGCACACATACTCCACACACGATCCCCCAAAACAGCTTTATTTTTGCAAAACAAAACAAGAAGCGCACCCCTAACGGGCCACACTTTAAAAAAAAAAAACTATTACTAGATCGGGAGGTGGAATGGTTTTTTGTAGTGGTTGCACAAAAGCACCTGCAGTAGGCTCGTGCGTCTGTTACAGAAGA